CGGATTTGCACAAAGAAGTGGAGATAGGGATTAAGTACTAGATACTATAGAGTAAATGAAATATATGGTAAAGGAAATACCTTATCAAATTGGGATGAGCTCATACCAGTAGCAATTTTCATTTTGTCTCCTGATTGTTTTCCTGTATTCATTTCCTGATTACAATCACGTCCCTCTTCATCTTCATCTTCATCATCACTGCTGTCAATATCAACATCCTGAAAAAAAAGAGAAGACGAAAAGTGAAGTAAAATTAGGTCCTGGGACCAAAAAATAAATTTAGTAAGTGGAGAAATTATTAGGGAGACTTTCATTTCGTATAAAATCACATGAAGAGATTCATGGATTGATCTCACAAGAAGACGAAGGCTGATTCCCGTTATAATGCAGTTATTTGGCAGTAATACGACGTTCAGGTTGACGCAGTCTACTAGATATCCTCCCCTATTTCAGGTGAAAACAGGCTGGGCTTTCGTCCATAATATGATGGTATCATCAAAGCTGGAATTCATTCTTGTAAAATTATCATGTTAACGCTGGGTCAAGAAGACTATCCGGCTCTATGTTACCTCTTATATAGACTCAATTAAGCAAAATAAAATTAATATGCATAGATAGATAAAGAATGATTTGACTAATTATTCTTTATATTTGCCTGGCTACTTTTTCTCGTGTGATTGCTAACTTCTATACACAATACCGGTCCTAAATCGGACTGACCAAAGAAGCCTAATGTTAGGCTCTGAACATCAAGGCTTAATGACCCAAAAACTCTGATCAAGATTGCGTAAGTCATTAAGTAACCATGGTTGAGATTATGAGATGTAATCTTGTAAGATTACGAAACCATCCATCCTAACCTCTCAGTATAGTCATTAAGCGTAGATACGAAGATTAAGATGTTGTGGCCTCTATTTTCGTCAGTCTCCTTTCGACGTATAGATGTGGTCTGACCCCGTTTTTGAAACTCGGTCGTGTTACCAGGGGAACTTAGTTGGACGTATCTTGTCTGAAGTCCTCTGTTATAGTAGTTATCATATTTCCAAACCTCGAAACGTGGACTTAATACATTCTCAGACGTTTATCCGGTATCGCCAATGAGTCTTAAAATTCTCAGCGCCAAGCTACAACTCATCAAAGAGATAAGTGAAGTCAATCACTTGAGTAACTTTCTGCCGATACGGTTGTACTATCACTCCTCTTTTTGTCCTGGCCCCTCTATCTACACCTATCCTCTTTTCCCACTCTGGCCCTATCACAATTTATGACTTGATTATATTCAATTCCTCACGAGGTGTGCCCTTTTTAGGAAGTTTAGTTTGGCGTCATCACACCTGCTGTTTGCCTTGCCTCTCTTCCTTTCAAATGACTGATACAGTTTTTGGCCTAATGTTAACCTTAGACTCCTAAAAGAATGAGTTCAAGCTCTGATGATTTCCATCATATTATGGACGAAAGCTCAGCCCGTTTTCACCCGAAACGTGAGAGGATGTCTTGTGGACTGTGCTAACCTGAAGGTCGTACTATAGCTAAACGGCTGCAGTACAACTAAAATCAGCCATCCTTTTATGGTGAGATGGAGCCTCGAATATCTTTGTACGCACTTGCATACTAAATGAGAGTCTATCCAACAATGTTATCTCAGAAGATTAATCTTAACCCAGTTACTCTTCCTATATATAAAGGGAAAGGGCTGGATCACACATTTTTAAGATTACACAATGGCAAATAAAATTTAATTTACGTGAGATACCAAACATTCTCAGTCAGCAACCAGGATATTGCGATTCTAAATAAAAAAGAATCGCAGGATAAGGAGAATTATTATAATCTCTATTACAAATTCGGTAACCTATAAAACAATTCATAATCTTAAAGGCACACAAGAAATAGCGCAAAATATGTAAGCCCACAAACCCAATTATGACATATTCTTAGATCTGCCTTTGGGGATATATTGACGTACAAATAGATGATCAATGTCCTTTTGTCTCAGGATAGCATTATCCTCTTCTTTGTTATTTTCCACGTCAGCAACAATCACATTAGGAAAATGACTCCTGTTCTGTTCCTTTTGCTCTAGGTCTTTTCTTGTCTTAAAGCACTCCCGCGTACCGGCCTCTTCTGTGGCAACCTGTTCAGAGGTCATTCCAGGTGGCAAAACGAGATAAGGCAGTTTGCCACGCTGGAAGTCATTAAGCACACGCTTAGCCGTCGTTCGAATGTCCGGTTCGCCGCCCTGAAAATATAGGAGTGGTAATAATTGTAGAATAATTTAGGCATCTAAGAATCAGAGTAAATGTTAATCCGAAAGTTCGGTGTAAAAGTAATATTCACTAAGATAAATGTCTCGATTAA